TATAGTCGTCATTGGTATCATTGTATTGTATTATATGTTTTATATGCATTATCATTATGTGCAAGTAAAAATGACAATTTTGTTCATTAGGTCATTTGGAGCACTTGCATGGTTTTATGATTATTGTTATTATATGATTTTCTACTGTGATGACAGTGATAGTTCATTGTTACAAATGTTGGTAAAATTTAAGAAAGAGATTATTGGTAAGTTTTCATGGTTATCTATATATATTATATTATGTGTTCTATTGTAAATGCATTGAAATTATTGATAAATAATGTTTGAGATGTATTATGGACTAAATTGATCCTAAGAGGCTATACGATAATTCTTGAGCTAAGAACTCTAATACGGTTTATTGATAAGTATTGAAATGTCACAAGAGATGACAACATGATAAGTAATGTTATTATGAACAATTAGTGCCAATGATTATCTTATTAAATTTGAGATACAATTGACATGTCATAGCCTCCGTAGTGCTTGTACGAATATCGTTCAGACTTTGATTTCGTTAGTAATAGAGGAATGTTGATGATTAATCGAATTAATTTTTGGGAAATGATAAAGAGTTGGGCACTATTATTGTGATATTGCACTATTGACAGTAACATTAAAATTTGTATTTATGTATATCAAAATAGTACCATTGGACTATTATTAAATCAATTTTTATAATCATGAGCATTGTTATTGTTATTGTTATAGCTAATGCAATTTTTATTGTTATTAACATCATTATTGATATTGATAAAAACACTTTCATGGTTATTACCTATTATAAGATCATAAATTTAAAGATGTCATCTAATAGAATATATGAGTAATACTATCTCACTAAGCTATATAAGTTTATATTGTTTGTTTAACGATTTTTGAGACATCGATCATCATAGTCGGATTCAAGATTGCATCCTGTGGTTGCAAGTCATCTTCATGTATTCAGTGAGTGTAAAGATTATTTCCTATATTCTTAGAATGGTGGCTATTTATGCATATGGATATGGTTTTGGTATATTGCCTTTGTCCCATTAAATTTATCCACGCTTGATTTTTTTTGTCATTTTTTTAAACTTTGACTCATTATTATTTAAAATTTGTAATTGATAAAAATATGAAAAAATATATTTTAAAAATCTTAAATCAAGTAGTTTTTAAATATATATTTTATAAATTTAATTTTTAAAATATTTAAAATAATTATGGTAAAAGTTTAAAAATTTTAACTTTTAAAAAATTAATAATATACACATTTAGTGGGACAGAGAAAGTATTTGTTTTGAACGAAGTTATGAAACATGTTCTTTGAATTGGTTGTCATGTATATTCTATGTTAATTATGAACCCATTGTGTTAAAATAAGCTAATGATATGGTAAAGTGTTCTATTGCCCTCATTTGAACAATTTGATAAGTTGATTTGTTGAATTATGCAGGATGGCATATTCGCTTAAATGATGTTCTAATTGAAATTATGCTCAATGTCAATTGCATAGTATTAAAATGATGTTATGATGCATTATTGGTATGTCATTGTATTAGATATGTTGCATATAAGTTAAAAGTAAGTTTGATAGACTTTTGAGCAAGTTTGAATTGATAATTTGACCAAATAGTGCATATAGTATTGATACGAAAACAGAGGGTATCGATGTCATAGGCTAAAATGTAAACTTTGGATGATTATTTGGCATCTATGCTGGTAGGGAGTATCGATAGCACATATAGTAAGGGATAGATATGGATCAGATTTTTGATTAATTTGACTCAATTCGACCCGAAAATTATACACCTTTCACTCGATCCAAATCTAATTCGAAAAATATACACCCTCCACCCGATTCGAATCTGAACACGACCTGACCCAAACTCGAAATAAAGGAGTATTATTACAATTATCCTTAAACATATAAAGTAAAATTACATTTTTCTCAGATCGAGTAGGGTCATATATTTTTCACTCGAACCCGACCTGACCCAAACCCATTTTTTTTAAAAATAAAGTTCGACTCGGTCGAATCGAATTGAAATCCGTCAAACTCGGATCTCGTGCTCATCTCTACACATAGTATCGGTATTAAGAGGTATCGGTACTTGTATAATATCAGCATCTATATTATTCGGCATCTCATTTTTAAATACATATGTGTTTCGGGCCCAAGATGACTCGTGTCTGGACTCGACCTGGCTTATTGATCCATGCCTTTCGCAGTTTATGCGATAATTCCGTTTTTTTCTCCATCTTTTTTTTTATTTCAATTTTTCCCTTAAACATGAATAAATAACATTTTTACCTATTTAATTTTAGTTTCTTTAAATCTATTCTTGTATGTTTGTTTATTAATTGTTATTTATTATTAGTATGATCACATTTCAAAATTAAATTTCAATTTGTAACGTCTTAAAACGAGATAACACGTGATTTTTGAAAGTACCAATTTTTTTTAGCGGTGGAGATGCTCTGCTCTAACCTTCTTCAAAAATATGATTTTTTTGGGTATTCGTTCGTACATGGTAGAAAATGATCGATGACGACTCGTATTCTAAAAACATGCTTTTCAAGGCCAAGACATTCTAGAATTACCTAAAAATAGTTTTCACAAATCAAATTATCTCAGTTAAGTTGGTTAAATCAATTATAATTGACTTTTCTCACTATTATATTATAATGCGATTTTTTTCACTTATTTTACATGTTAAATCATAAGAACTAATGTGTAATATATATATATATATATATTGTACTTAACAATTTTGAACTTAATAATATTATACTCCTACGTTAAAATAAACTTGAATCACTGAACATGACAGGATCATAATCTAAAATAATTTAAATTTGACTAGAAGTGATCTAATTTGAATTGATTAAAACTTAAAATCAATTTGATCTAAAGTTTATAAATCAAAACATGACTCAATTTGAACCTAACAGGTCTAATTTTGTCAACCCCATTATAAGATTGACAGAGTATGTTTCATACCAGACATAAACTGGAACCATGAATCCTTGTTGTTACTCATGCCAAAAGTTCATCAACTCAGTTTATGGACAATTGGGTTAAAATCGAGGGATAGAAAAAAAATTAAGGTATGATGTCAAAAACAGCCCGCAACGTTTACTAAAATGGTTATTTTGGCCCCTTAACATTTCACTTTGGGGTAAAAAATTCCCTTTATAGATGAAAATATTAGTTAACACATAATTAACGCTTCAAAATAAGAGTCTTTTTTAATCTAAAATGAAGCGTTGAGGGCTAAAATACCCTAGAAAAAAAATAAGAGACAAAATGTTTATTTTGTCAAATGTTAGGGGCCTTTTGACCCTAAAATGAAATATTAGGAGTAAAAATATTCCAAAAAATAGAATAGAGGAAAAAATGATCATTTTGATAAACATTGGATAATTAATTTTGATATTATATCAAAAATTAATAATAAAGGTGAACCCGCGCTGCATATTATAAGAAAAGGAGTTTTTCCACGATATGCGACTATCAGATGACGTACGAATAAACTTTAGTCGTTGATATACATTTCAATCATATTTTTTTTTGCTGAGTTATTAAGATTTGAAATATTAATGGCTATAAGCTTGATTAGACCATGCGATGATGAGTTTAAAGAGTATAAAAGATGGAGGAATAGATTTGTGATTTTACCATTTTATTTTTGCTTAATATATAAAAAAACACCAAATTATAACTTTTTTTTTCCTAAATTGGTGCCTAAACTTTTTTTTTGTTAATTTAGGTGACTAACGTTACAAACGTTAGCACTTTAAGTGCTCCGATTGTGACGGTTGTTAATTGACACATGTCACATTTTGATAATTTTAAACATTCTATTTATAAAAAAGTAAAGATACAATGTAATAAAATAAAATAAAAATAATGAATACCGACAATTGATAACCAGTAACAAAATCGATGTCTCACAAAAAAAAAAAAACTAACGACCACGTTAGGAAGAGAGAGAAAACTACAGTTAAAATTATTTATTTGGATAGATTTAGAAACTTTAAATATTGTTTAAATTATCAATCTGATCAATTTCTAAATAAATTTAATGACATTGACCAATTAAAATATGTAACATGTAATGAAACATTAAAACATTCTTCAAAAGTTAGAAAATTCAAATAAAACTATAAAAATATAAATTTTCTAATTTTTTTCAATTTATTAATTATTCAAATAAATTAAGTATGATTACTACTTGAGAAAAACATATAAATTTAAAACATAAATTCTGAAAATTTAAAATAATTTCATAAACAATAAAATGTCTAAACTTCTCTATCATTATTGAACACATGAGATATTTATCAATTATAAAACTAAGCCCAAAAGATTTTCTTCAATGTTGGGCTAATCATACGACTCAGTCCCGAGCGAGCAAAGCCCCCGAAATATATGAATAAAATACACAAATAGTCCTTTGATTATATGGTAATACTTTTTTTGAGTCCCTCAACTATTAAAAATTATAAAATGATTCTCTAACTATAGGGTGTTGATTTGTTGAGTCTCCTTATTTTAAAAGTTACAAAATGGTCACCCGAGTATTCATACGTCCAACTCTTCCTTTTTCATTAAAAATTAACGGTTGTCTGAGCTGGACATTAAGCTGGTGACTAGGATATAAAATATGATCCTAGAATCTCAAACGACTATACAATTCCAATGGTTCTGGGATCAGATTTTATCATATAACAGTCAGCAACTTAACATCTAACTCAGACAACTGTTAATTTTTTAATGGAAAATGATGAGTTTGGAATATATGAATAATTTAGTTATCATTTTGTATCTTTTAATAGTCGAGAGACTCAATAAATTAGCACCCAATAGTTGAATGGTCATTGTGTAATTAATAGATTAGGGATTCAAAAAAACATTGTCATATAGTCAATGGACCATTTTTGTACTTTTTCCAATATATATATACACACTTATGGAACGTGAAACTAGTACCTTCCATCTTCAACCTGGCTTTCGTTTTTCATTCATCCTTTTAACACTCATAAGCTACCTAAATTCAATTTTCTTCTCAGGGATAATAACTCTGTTCTTCATGATGGAGGTTCATTACTCTTTCCTTTTCCTTCCTCTCTCTCTCTTTACTTTTATGCTTCATCACAGTTTCGTTTCTGTTTTCTTTTTTAATCTCTTCTGACTGTGAGGAAATGGGTTTTTGCACTCTTTTCTTTCTGTTATTTACATAAGTTTTGCTTTTGGGTTTTCAATAAATGATGAATATGTTTACTTTTTGGTTAAGTTTAAAGATTTTATGAAAGAAAATGAATGAATTTCACAAAATCAGACAATACCATGTTGTTTGAATGGAATTTCAATGAGATAGGAATAGTTTCTGGGAATTGCTAGATCAATGAAAACTTGAAGAGCTATGCCCTTTTTTGTTTGTTAATTTACAAATGAATGTCGCATACTTGCATTTGAGTTGTTTAATTGTTTGAATCGTTGAACATTATATAATAGGTTGAATTGGGGTCTTCATTTTCTCTCTCTCTTTCTTCAATGTATTTATGTAAGATTCATAATCTTGGGATTGAAACAAAAGCGTATAGAATGTGACAATTTTAAATTCCGGATGTAATATTGGGTGCAAAACACATCACTTGAGGTAGTTCCTGGTACAGGGTCCAGTATGTCGAGTAGCCTGCGGATGCTATGTTCTATTGGCCATTTCCATTGGGGCTCATTGTACCATCTCTATTGATAATTTAACATGCCCTTCCACCTTGGACCCACAAACTCGGCCTGCGGCAGCCCCCTTTGTGGAGGCCAATGGACCTGCGACGATGTCTATACCAATGATTGCTTGTTCATCTTCTCTGTCAGAGGTTCCTTTGTTATTTTGTGTCTTACCTTTGAGAATAAAAATAGTTATGGCTATAGGCATTTTGATTCAGTGGTAATGAACATTTTATCGGCTGATTCTTGTAGATTTTAGTAGTTTTATTTCTGTATTTAAGTCTCTTAATTTTGTTTTGTTTGATTTGATAGCAAATTTGTGCTAAATATTTTTTCGTGGTGATTTGTTAGCACAACTCGAATGGAAGTGGGATCAACAAGAACAAACAAATGGTGGAGCAGTTGCAGCAATATGGTGTTTTCTCATCGAAGAAGGTTGCTGAAGTAATGGAGACTGTCGACAGAGCATTATTTGTACCTGATGGAACCCCAGCTTATGCTGATAGTCCCATGGCAATAGGTTACAGGGCCACCATTTCTGCACCTCATATGCATGCTACTTGCCTTCAATTATTGGAGCAAAATTTGCAGCCCGGCATGAGGGCTTTAGATGTTGGCTCAGGTCTCTTTTGTACTTTATATCATCATATCTTTGCTTTCTTGGATTCTTCCATATGTGTAACACTATTGGAATGTTGGAATATCAAATGTGCTGCAGCTTTTCTATCGGGTTAATTCCACTTTGTCAATGGTCATTTAGGAAGGGTCGATCATACTCGTTGATGCTTGTTGGATTACTGATGTTTTCACTGGAACTTCCAGTGAATACATCAGTAATCCAGTCTAAAATGTTTATGATTTTATGGTGCTAAAATAGGGGCAGAAAAAGAGGTTGTTGAAAGAAAACCGAAGGAGTTATAAAATTTCAAGTGCCCTTGGGCTATTATCTCAACACTTGTGGCATAATTTGGTCTTTGCATGCAGTCTAATATTTTTTTATATTCCTTTTCTTTGTAGAAGGCTTACTTTGATTTACGTCATGCATTTCTTTTGTAGGAACTGGGTACTTGACGGCTTGCTTTGCAATAATGGTTGGATCACAGGGTCGTGCTATTGGTGTGGAACATATTCCTGAATTGGTTGCTTCTTCCATAAAAAATATTGAGAGAAGTGCTGCAGCTCAGTTATTGAAAGAAGGTTGTCTTCAAGTACATGTTGGTGGTATGTACTCATCAGAACTTGCTATATCGAAAGAAGGTTTTCGTGGGATTGAAAATGAGTCGGTTGTCTTAGTTGAACTTTTCATAAGGAACTAATATACCTCTAGATGGTTATAACTTTTTGTGGAGTTGTCTTTAGTGGTTTATTTGAATGAGAATCGATGTTTCAGTTAATGTTTGTGACTGATGCTTTGATCATATATGATATCATAGATGGACGAGAAGGTTGGCCGGAGCATGCACCTTATGATGCTATACATGTTGGGGCAGCAGCACCGGAAATACCACAGCCTCTCATCGATCAATTGAAGCCAGGTGGAAGAATGGTGATCCCGGTGGGGAAAATATTCCAAGATTTGAACGTGGTGGACAAAAATTTGGATGGTTCGGTTTGCATTAGAAGCGAGACGGCTGTCCGTTATGTTCCTTTGACCAGTCGTGATGCACAGTTGAAGGGTTATTGAGTTGAGGAAAGTATCATGAATTCAGCTTGTTTCTCTTATTAAAGCCCAGTATTGTACAGAATATCGGTAGTTATTTAATTTTCCAGCTTGTTCCTCGCTATATATTGTTTGCTTTTGGTATGTTTTGGAGTCGGAACATAATGAAATGCAGGGCACAGTTAAAGCAACCCGTTTTCCAATAATATTTTGCCTTTTTTGCATAACGCCGATGTTCTAGATGATTGTTAACAGAATTCCTGTTATATTTTTTTAATAGTATGTATATAAGACAGTATGGATTTATAATCTTTCTTAATTATCGATGATGTACATACATTATGTAGAAGTAATTGTTTGAATCTATGATGTACATACATTATGTAGAAGTAATTGTTTGAATCTATGATGTACATACATTATGTAGAAGTAATTGTTTGAATCTATGATGTACATACATTATGTAGAAGTAATTGTTTGAATCCATGATTTTTAGAGAGAAATATTTCAAAATAATGAATGGGTTTACAGGCTAAATACAGAGCGAGTCTTATGGATAATATATGTTCATTATAATACTCTGTAGTTGTACCTTGAAACTAATGTTAAAACCCTACGATAACGATGTTCCACGAACAAATCAAGTCTATTATCCTGCGTACGGGAATATCGGAATGTTGAATTCAACAAATTCAATAATATATCACCAATCTAGTGAGTTATCAATAGTATGTCACCAATCTAATGTACACATCATGAATCCCATAAATATAATCATGCTAATACAATATACAATTAGTATATATATGATACATAAATTTAATACATGACATGCTTAAATCCAATAATATAAGTCTCATACTTTCCCTATTTAGTAACTAATGGTCTAGCCATGGACTCTCAAAATCAATAGCCAACGATGCAATAATGAATCACAACATCATTAACATTGCAATATCTTTTGTTCTCATATAGCATCGAGTATATATTTATGATATCGGATATCCGTACATATATCGTTACTAAGACCGTAATAATATAAACATGTGTATTTACATTTTATCACTAAGATCATAATATATATATATATTTGTCCTTAAGGTTGCATCGTTATGTGAATATTTTGAGTGTCAAAATGACTACGTATTGTAGATATTTATTTTCTTCCGGGTTTTTTTTATAGCGTAGTATATATAATAATTTTAAATATGGTTTTTGAAAATATATAATTTTGGAAACTTATTTTTTTAAAAAAAGTATAATATATAGTTTTTAAAACGGTTTTGAACGCATATAGTATATAGTTTTTAAAACGGTTTTGAAAACATATAGTATATAGTTTTTAAAATAATTTTGAAAAACATATAATATATAGATTTTTTTTTAAATTGAAAACGTATAATATATAGTTTTTAAAACAGTGTTGAAAACATATAATATATAGTTTTTTGAAATGGTTCTGAAAACGTAAAGTATACAGTTTTCAAAAACGGTTTTGAAAACATATAGTATATGATTTTTTAAAAATGGTTTTGAAAACATATATTATATGGTTTTTTAAAATGATTTTGAAAACATATAATATATATTTCTTTAAAAACGATTTTTGAAATCATATAATATAATTTTTGAAGACATATTTTTAAAATTATAGTTTTTATTATTATATTTAGTATATTATTATTTATATTATATTATTTATTTTATGTTATTTATTTTATTTATTTCGTTTTACTTTTTTTTTAAATTTTATTTTAGGTCCAAATCAAGGTCCAAGTCCAGTCCACAATTCGATCCAGAAGAGGTCCAAGTATACGGGCTTGATCCAGCCCATATGCAAAATAGAGTTTCACAAATCAAGCTCAGCGCCACATCTACCAGAGCCATCAGATCAAAACATAAACCAACGGTTGAGATCGAAGAAAAATAGGGTTGTAAAACCCTAATCATATGAAGCCAAGCATCGCACGCAACGCGCGTGGAGGCCACGCGCCAACAACTAACGGGATTTCCTGCCGAACAACCCAGGACTGAGCCATCTCGAGCTTTTCGGCCGCACCAACAACCAACGTCACCGAACGAGACTGAACCACCCCGGAAGAATCGGTAACACCCCGAGATATTCGGGAGTACAACGACCGGTTACGGGCTATAAAAGCCTCCGACCATGCAATGAAAACAACAACAAGAGCCACGAAAAAACTCAAGCCAAATACCAATAGCAGTAAAAGACCAAAAAGAATACCCAGGAAATCACAAAAACAAACAAGCAAAAATAACAAGCAAAGCAATTGTTTGAACCAACACGAAAAAAATCAAATCTTTCACCAAAGGCCGATAGGCAGAGGGGAGCACGGTCGCGGGGAATACCAAAAGTTGCTGGAGCACGTCGAAAAAGGTAAAACTCGGGACCTTTTTGGCATAGATATGTGCCATTCAGGGTTGTTTTAGGAGGTTTGGGGGTTAGATCCGATATAGGGGTAACGTGGGCTTTCGAAAGGTGTAAGGTTTGTTTTTTCTGGCCGTCAGGGCTACGGCAGGCAGTGGTGTATAGCTGAAATGATGGTCGGCCATTCTGCCGAGTGGGAGAGAGTTGAGAGCATTTGAGAAGAGAGGGGGGATGTTTTGTTTGAAATGAGATAGAATGAAAATTTTAGGATTTTAGGGGTATTTATAGTGGGGACTAGAGTGTAATTACATGATAGTTAAATTATTTCCACAATCCCCGATACTTTGATGTGTAATTCATTCTAGCCACCTGTTATAAATTGGCCATTGAATTTTGAAATATTTTGATTTAATCCTTGATGATATTTCTCATTTTTTGCAATTTGACTCCCCAATTTTGATCTTTTAAATTTTTATTTATTCCTTTTATTTTTTTATTCTCTTTCAATTTTGACATGTTCTTCATTTTTTTTTTATATTTTTCATTTTTTAACGTTTTTCTCATTTTAATTTTTTTATTTCTTTTAAAATTTAATACTTCCTTCCTTCATTCCTTTATTTTATTTTATTTTATTTTTCTATTTTAACATTTTTTTATTTTCTTAATTCAACCTTTTTTTTCTTTGATGTATTGGATATTTATTTTATTTTATAATCTAACGTTTTTTATTTTGACTTTTTTAAGGGCAATTTTTATCGATCTAAGGTAAGTAATTCAAATCGAATCTTTAAATTTCAATTTAGCTTTTAATTTTTGAATTAAGACAATCGAAAATTAAATTGGTACCGAAAGGGCGGTACAAGGGTGCTAATTATTCATTGACTGTAACCGACTCCCAAACCCGACATATTTCTAGTAAAACGCAGATCAGGTAAGATGATAAATTGAGATGTCTGGTCAACCTAATTTAAAAAAAAAATTATCGGTGGCGACTCTAGCATGTTTTATTTAGCTTGGCGACTCTACCGGGGATATGTAAGTGAGTCAGGCTAAATTTATTTTTCAGTTGTATTCTTAAGGGAAAATTGTATGTTTAAATTTTAATTTAACTTTTCGATCCTTATTATTTACCTTTGATTATTATTTTTCAAATAAATAGTCGTACTGATGTTCTCTAATGATTTCAGCTTTTCAAAAATTCACCTTAGGCTCTATACCCGGCTCCAAACCCTTTCGTAAGTGAAGGTGAAAACGACACCTTCGTGGGAATTTATTCTCCGTATAGGCCTAGCAAGTAACCTTCGGGATTCATATACCTTATGTCTTCGTGTGAATTTATTCTCCGTATAGACATAACGGAATGTGTCCTCTCGAGTTTAACTCGGTCCACATAAGCTTGTAGTAGACTTAGGACTAAGGGTCTGTCAAGCCCACAAGGGCACTAACAAGGAGAACTCGGGTACCTTTTTTTAGAACCTAAACCGGGAGATTGCAAGGAATTAGAGCCCACCCCGAATCTTCATTTCAAAACCTAAGATGCTTGAGTTATTTCTTGTTCAAAGCATGCAAACTAGAAAAATATACGGTTGGGACTTGCTAAAAAATTAACATGTGGGATAGAAATCGTGTCTGGGTAAGAATAAAAGCATGTGGGGTAGATAACATGCGGTGTAGGAATTTTTACTTTTATTATTATGTTGATTGTTATTTTTATCTTACTAACTTGTTTCCCTTTTATTTTTTGTTTTCTTTTATTTTTTCATTCCCATCATTTTAAAGAGGTGATTGATCCACAAAAACGTGTTCGTTAAACACAAATAATTGGCACTAATGGAAAAAGAGGTTGTAATGCAAGAGGTGAAATACGCAGAGGCTCGGCTATGGTCAGAGAAGACTTAAAAGGAAAAGGGAGATAGTCTGCAAGACAATTTTATGTCAGATCTGGTTGGTTATGCTTCTGTCAACCTTAAACAAAACGATGTTCAAGAACTGCAGAGCATTTGGGAAAGCTGGAAAAACGACCAGAAATAGAGATTCTGCCAGCGATATGGTGATACTGCGCTTCTACTCTATGTCAATATAGATGTGCCTTTAATTCAAGCCTTAGTGCAATTTTGGAATCCGGGGTACAATTTCTTTATATTCAATCAAGAAGACATGGTGCCCACAATTAAAGAGTATATCACTTTACTACATTTTGAAGGAATCAGAATTGACTGGGTCTACACCAAGCACATCAAAAGTCAGCATTTCAGGAATGGGTTGGCAAAGGTTGCAATGGTAGATTAAAAGTGGGTAACTGACCTGATTCAGAACAAGGGTAAAGGAGAGGGAATTGCTTGAACCCATATCAAGCAATTAATGAAGAATCATCCAGATGAATGGAATGTGATTGACCTTTTCATACTAGGTATCTATGGCTTGGTTATCTTCCCAAAAACTTTGGGATACATTGAGGCGGCTGTAGTGGAACTGTTCGAACAACTACCGAAACGAGTAAACCCTGCACAAGCAATATTAGCTAAAACTTTTCGTGCACTCAACCATTATAGAAATACTAGGGGAGGAAGATTTATAGGGTAGCTTCTTCAGGTATGGATCCATAGTCACTTCTTGAAGACTAACGAGATTTCTTACCGCCAATTCAATACCACTTACCCTCCTTTAGGGGAATTCCTTACAATAAAGTGGACTTGTCAACCTGTTAGAAGCCGTTCAGGGTCTAGAGGACTTAGTTAGAATGTAACTTTGAGATGTTTTAGTCTCTTAAGAAATAACATTTTTGTCC